CTTAAATGTTTGATTGAATTCATAGTGAAGCTATTTGGTGGAGGCTTTTTTATGAGGAAATTACAAATGAATGATTTATTATTTTATTTTATGTGCATTGCTGTCTTGCCTGCATGTATTCTGTGTGAGAGTGACAGATCCCCTGGAACTAGTTACAGGCAGTTGTAAGTTGTCATGTGGGTGCTGGGAATTGAACCCAGATCCTTTGGAAGAACTGCCAGTACTCCCAACCACTGAGCCATCTCTCCAGCCACAGGAAATTACAAGTTAAATGTCTGTTACTTCTTCACTAATCTTTGTCTTTGAGTAAGTTTGGTGATTTTATCTTCAAGAAATGTGTGTGTTTCATTTGATTTGTGAAATGTGGGTGTAAATGTATCCCTGATTTTCGTCTTACCATCTTAATCTCTGTGGCATCTCTAGTGGCACTGTGTCCCATCCTGGTACTGGTGATTGTACTGGCTAGGTTTATGACAATTTGACACAATCTAGAGTCATCATGGAAGAGAAAACCTCAGTTGGGAAAATGCCTCCGTAAAAAAGGGCTGTGGGTAAACCTGTAGGACATTTTCTTTATTAGTGATTGATAGGGGAGAGCCCAGCCCATTGTGAGTGGTGCTGTCCCTGGGCTGGTGGTCCTGGCTTCTATAAGAAGCAGGCTGAGCAAGCCAGTAAGCAGAACCCCTCCATGGCCTCCACATCAGCTCCTGTTCCCAAGTTCCTGCCCTGACTTCCTTCCATGATGAATAGTGATATAGAAGAGTAAGCCAAGTAAACGCCTGCCTCCCCAACTTGCTTTGACCATGGTGTTTCATCACAGCAATAGAAACTCTAACTGAAAAAAAGAAAGAAAGAAAGAAACCCTAACTGAGACAGTAGTTTGCGGTCTTCTTTTTCCAGTCAACCTAACAGTATCAATTCTTTAGTCATCTCTAAAAAAAACAATTTCTGCTTTCATTAATTTTCCCTATCATTTTTTTATTTAATTATTTCTTATTTCTCTTCATTATTTCATTTTTCTGTGCACACAGTATGTTGTTTGCCCTTTCTCCAGTTCTTCAACATGCTAGCAGAAGTCATTGTCTTTTACTGCTTTTATAGCATTTATAAATATCTTTTTGTTGTGTTTTCATTTTCACTCATTTCAAAACTCCTTGTCTATAGGTTATTTGCAAGTGTGCTGTTTACTTTTAGAATATTAGAAGGGGGCTCAGTGGTTAAAGACACTGTCCAGCCTAATGACCTGTGTGGATCCCCTGAGTGCACAATGTGGAAGGAGAGGAACCATTTGCCACAAGCTGCCCTCTGACCACCACGTGTATTCTGTTAATGTACATGTGTATTATATATATATATTTACATATATATATATATATATATATATATATATATACACACACACATACATACATACACACACATATACTTCTGCTAGTACCTTGAAGAACTAGCGGAAGAGCAATTAATACTCTGTGTACAAAATAATAAAATAGTTCAGATGAAACAGAAGTAACATGTGTATGTATGTATGTTTGTATGTATGTTTTCAAGACAAGTTTTCTCTGTATATCCCTGGCTGTCTAGAACTCACTGTTGTTGGCATACTTTTAAAAACTCTTATTTACACTTCTCTCTTTCTTTCTACTCCACCCCAATCCTTTCCAGCACCCCAACACCAGGTAGGAGAGAGAAAGGGTTAGTGGGAGAGGGGGATTAGTTCTCTTAGCTGCTTCCTGATGGTCAGGGTTGTCGGGTTCCTTGGAGCCAGTCCAAGCCTTGTTTCAGGAGATCTCCAACTTCTTGTCTCACAGCAGCAACCAGGAGCAGCAAAGGGGAAGATGGAGCAGCCTTGTTATTTTTGGAGCCACTCATTCTCTGGGCTCTGGCATTTGTTCTCTCTCTAGAGTCCTCACATTTAAACTATCTGCAGCTGGCAAAGAGCGCCTCTCAGAGCCCACATGAAGCAAAGAGTCTGCTGCTGTGGACTGTCTGAATCAGTCCCACATCCCACACCTGGAACCAAAACCAAAACATGTTTATATCCATAATACTCTGTAGACCAGACTCGGCTTCAAACTCAGAAGCCTACTGCCTCTGCTTCCTAAGTGCTGGGATTAAAGGCATATACCACCACCACCTAGCATAAATACATTTTTAAAATCTGTCTTTATAAATGTCCTGTGAGAACAAAGAAAGAATATCAGTTGTTTTTGGGTAGAATGATCTATAAATGTTACTTCTGTTATACCCAGTTCACGAGCCCCCAAAAGATCTACAGGAGTCGACTCCGTTGCAAAACACATGAGGGTCTTTTTATTGTAAATTACAAGCTGCAGCTTGGGCCAACACAGCCTCACCGCCGAGGCGGTGAGAGCTGAGCCCCCGTGCCCAGGTTAGTTGGGTGATTTATAGATTCTGGTCCATCCCAGCATGCCCAAGGCAGGGGCAATTCCTGCCTGGCAAGCATCTATTGGTCAAAATGCTACATTTTTTAATCGATTGGCTATAGGAAGGTTCCCAGGCCATTAATGACCAGGTGTTCCTCTTTAGGGGGATGGGCCAGTTTCCTAGCAACTGTATCTCTAGTGGGTGGGGAAAGAATGCAGCGAGGTAGCTCTCCCCTCAGGGGATTACTAACTACTTTACCGCACCTACTCACCTACTCTAGGTTTTAACGATAGCTGTCACTTTGGTCTCTCAACTTCAACCAAGTTGGCTGACTTTGTAATGTCTTTCATGTCCCTACTGATCTACTGGACCTGTCAGTTCATGAGAGAAAGATATTGACTGTCTCTTCACTTGAATTATAGATTGTCTATTTCTCCTACTAATGTAAGTGTTTACTTCATGTATTTTTCACCTCTGTGATAATTGCATAAAAGTTTAGGGTTCTTGATTTTTTAATAAACCATCTCCTTTATCACTGATGACCTTTATCTCGGGAAATGTCCTTCATTCTGTGATCTCTTTTGTGACTTCAGCTTTCTTCTTATTAGTGATAGCATATGTATCTTTTTAGTGTCTTTTTTATTTTAAACACGACAATCTCTTCCTTTCTCTGAAGTATTTGAACCATTTACTTTTATTATGATTATATTAACTGTCATTTTTGCTACTTATTTTCTACTTGATGTAAATGTTTTTTGTTGCCCTCTTCCATTTTTTCTTACTGTGATAGTGTATTTGATGATCATATTTTAGCTCCTTTTTACTTTTTAGCTGTTACTTTTGTTCTGTAGATTTAATTACTTGAAAAGGTTTATTATATGCATCCTTAATGTACCACCCTTCTGCCTTCAAGTGACACTACTACACTTCACACACAGAAATACTCCCCTGAATTTTACAATAGATGCTCCCATTTCTGTTCCCCCAGCCTTTGTGATATTATCACAATTTAATTTTTTTGCGTGCTAAAAATCCCACACAATTACTTTCATTTCAAGATTCTATTAACATTTAAAGGAATTTAAATGATACGAGATTCTCCCTCCCTCTCTACTTTCATATGGCTCTGGCTTCCCACTTGCTATCATCTTCACCTTTGATGAGAGAATTCTTACATTCCTTTTAAGAGTCCTCTGATAATGAATTAATTATTCAGCATCAGTATGTCTGAAAGTGTATTTTGCTTTCATCTTTAAAAATACATTTTGCTGAGCTAGTGCATTTTTCTGGGATGATAGAGGCTTTATGCTTTTTTAGAACTCAAAGGCCATTGCCCTGTCGTCTTATCTGCATTGTCCAGCTCATCTTGGTTCCTCTGTGTGTCTTCTCTGGCTGTTTTTAAGATTTTGTTCTCTGCTGATGTTGAGCGGTTTATCGTGACATGCTTTGATGTGGTTTTCTTCCTATTTCTTATGCTTGGGGTTTGCTGAGTATCTTAGTTCTGTAGTTTGTTGGTTTCATAGAATGTGGAAAGATTTTATTCATGTTGTTTCATATGTTTTTTTTCTGTGCCCCCATCTCTCTAATAAATCTAGTTATAGATAGATTTGGTGCTTGTCCCACTTCTTGATGATTTCCTATTCTTAGGTGGTCTCCCTCCCCCGTGTGTGTGTGTGTGTGACTATCTATGTCTGTGTCTGTGTGTTTCATTCTGAGTAGCTTCTGTCATCATGTCTAGTGGTTTCTCTGGCATTTTCCTCTGCACTTTGCATTCTATGATTAAATCTGTTATGTTTGGGGTTTTTTTGTTTTGTTTTGTTTTATCTCAGACACTGGCTCCTCTCTAGAAGTTTGGTTCAGGGCTTTGTCTCTGTCTTGTATGTGTGTGCGAGGTACGTTTCTCTCTAGTCCTCTCAGAAGTCTTTAGCCTTGAGTAACAAGCATGCTGAAGTACGTCCTCTGGCTCAGGGAAGCTCTCTATAGTCTTTAGATTACCTCTGCATTTCTGTCCCTATATCACTCTTCTTAAAAGCCCTAGCTGTTAAGAGGGCCATAGCAGCCACATGCCCTGTACCTTTCACTCTCCAAATCAAGCCTGCGGTTGCTTACAATGAACTTAAGTACACGGGTGCATCTGTGCTTACTTGCTAAGTACCAGGGTTCCTTGCATACCTCAAGGGCTGGGTTGTGAAACTGAATGGCCTGGATATGTTGCAGGGCTACATGCTGTGTTTAAGCAACCCCACTGGCTTCACTTTACAGAACCTGAGTGACGCTAAGGCAACCTGCAAGGTGCTCTGTAGATGCTTGGTAGGAAATCATATAGATTCAGGGCTCTATCAGATGCTGTACTCTTGCCCGTCACAGACAAACAGACAAGTATACATTTAGGTATCAATTCTGACTTCTCAGCTCTATTCTTTCCTGGGCCACCAAGAGACAGCTAAATAGCCAAACACTGGGAGGCTCAGCCTCCTCCTTGTGACAGTTGTATGCCTTGTTCTGATATGATATACTTTCTCAGCTCTCAACTGTGTGCTGCTCTGGGTACCTCCTTCTTGCTGGTGGAAAACAAGAGCTTCAAGTCACTTCTTGTGTCTTCTCTATTTCAGGCATCAGTAATGCAGAGGCACGGCAGCCAGGGAAGGCCCCCAACTTCAGCGTCAACTGGACAGTGGGAGACTCCGCCATTGAAGTCATCAATGCCACGACAGGGAAGGACGAGCTAGGCCGCCCATCCCGCCTGTGTAAGCACGCGTTGTACTGTCGCTGGATGCGTGTACACGGCAAGGTACTGAGGCGCCCTCACTGGGTGTCGGCCTACCTCCCCCAGCGTGTCCGTTTCCATTCCTTCCATCCCTCCTGGTTTTCATCATCATGTCATCATTGCAACTTCCTAACAAGATCATTTGAAAATTCTTCTTTCTTCAGATTGTTGTTAATATAAATGTATGGCCCCTGTTCCACAAACCTGAGAGCTACCTCAAAGGCAGCTTTCTCCCTCACCCCTGCAGTCTTAGCTACTGTCCTGGCATGAGGGAAGGTGACTGCTCGTGCCACTGTGCTGGGAATCATGAAAAAGAAGGGCAATCTCTTAGCACTGCCCTGTGATGGCTTCATCAAGGGTCAGAAACTTACTTTAGCTCCAGAGCCCTTTTCACCAAGTAAAACTTTAGATACTAAGGCAGGATAACATTAGTTCTTGTCTAAGTTCTTATCAGGGATATGGTGTTTTCTTATTATGAGGCCAGCTCAGAGCAATGGTGTGGGGCTCAGACAAATTCTACCATTCTCATGGAGACAGACAAATGCTCTCATGGTGGCCCCAAGGTCTTAGCAGGACACCTCCAGGCTCTGCCAATGTGGCAAGGCATTTATTACACAGGTGTTCTTTTTAGTAGTTACAGGGGGCAAATTCTACTCTGCCAGAAGCATAGGTCCTGCAGCCATCTGTCTGACCTGCAGGCTACTGCTTAGAGATGAAACTGAGCTTTAGGCCTGGCCTCTGGTGGGTACTTTTCCATCTAGAAGAACACCACCTTCTGTTTGTCCTTTCACAAACCAGCACAATTCTGAGCATCATTTTTGACCATCATGCTAGGTTTCTTTCTCTTCTGTTGCTGTTCCAATACTTGCTTTACGTGTGCATGTATCCTTCTACAGGTCTCCCCCCACCTGCTGCGCACCAAGATCACTAAGCCTACCACATACCACGAGTCCAAGCTGGCAGCGAAGGAGTACCAGGCTGCCAAGGCACGTCTGTTCACTGCCTTCATCAAGGCAGGGCTGGGCGCCTGGGTGGAGAAGCCCACAGAGCAGGACCAGTTCTCTCTCACTCCCTGAGCCAGGCGGGTGTCAAGCACAGAGTGCGAGGCTGCAGTGCCGAATCGTCCCCCAGAGCCTTGCATCTGAACTGGGACAGGTGTACATCTTGGGGAGGGCACGGGGAGCCTGGACATCAAGCACCATCCCCAGCAGCTCTCACCCCAACAGGGCAGCAAGGGGATGTGTAGGGTGCCAGGCACCTCACATCTGAATGGGGATCAGGTGCACGGTGGGGGTGCATGGGGGGCATAGGGGCCCATCACCACCCCTTGCCACACATTTCCCCTCTTGAGCTACCCAGTGACCGCTTTATATCTCAGTTTACATTAGACATTGAGTTCTACTGAGTAGGGCTTCCTCGAGTATAGGAAAATAGAAATTACTTTGTGTGAGATTCTTGAATAAATAATTTATTCAGAGCTTAGGAATGAGATTTATAAAATAAGAAGTAATTATGTCAGGTCACTTTTATGCCACATTATTTTAATTGCAAAAAAAAAGCGTTTATATGTAAAAGAGCACGAGATTATAGAGGTAGGAAGTAGAAGAGAACCACCACACACAGATCTATGCGTGGCCGCTCCTCTCGTAGGTCCTTCACAGTTAGGTTCTCACAGTAGGTTTTAGCAGCTCTCCTGGGGGACCCCAGCATGATATGATGTGATCTTGGCACACGCTAGCCCTGCAGCAGGGATGCTGTGTCCTACAGAGTCATGACCTAGGATCTGCTGCCTCAGCTGCCTCTAGAAACGTCCATGCCCCTGGTTAGGCTCAAATCATGGAAAACTCGATTTGCTTCTAATTAATTGAAGATCAAATGTGTCCATAGCCTGTATTGGCTGGCCATCATTTGGGGGTTCTAACCAGAGAGGTTTTGTGACCTCGAAGAACTCAATAGGACTGCTATGCACACAGAGCACAGCCTTCCTTCTGCTCCTTCCTTGGGATCTGGTGGGTAGGAACCACTCAGAAAGCTTCACAGGATGGAAAGATTTATTTAAGCGGGTACCATTCTTGGAGCGTGCCAGGTAAGGCATATTGTTAAATTATTCCTTCCAGCTTTATCAGACACGTGTTTGAAAAATAAAATATTCAGGTTGAAGCTGGTGAGACAGTGTAAGGCCGGAACGCTGCAGACCAGACATTGGTGTCTCGGACAGGCAGGCCTGGGTGCTACTGGCATCTTGTGGCTGAACCCCAAGATGCTGCTCAGCACCCTGTATGCACAGGGTGGCCCCAGGGCCCTGGAGTGGACCATCTGGACCTCCTGTGCTTAGACTTGCCCCAGGTGCCTTGTTGCTTCCACTCAGGATTAGGGAGAAGTAGAGTGAGGAGGGGCTGTGGCTGTCAGCTCAGTGTGCCAGCCTGGTCCAGCAGGTTGCTCTGAAGAGCTTCAGGGCCATGAGCAGAGAAGGTTCATACTCATCTCACAGCACCCATCCACCACAGCTGCATCCAGAGCACTGACGGTTGTGTGGCTCTGGCTGTGTTTGTGTCCTTGACACACACTGAGAAAAAAACAGAATGAGCATAGTCACTGTCAGTTCCACCAGATTCCCAGCAGACTCAAGAGGCTGTGTGTTGTTGCTTAAGTGAGACCTACTGTGTATCCATTTCAGGAGCCCTGACTGTGTCCTTGTGAGTATCTCCCATGGTTTTCATCCTGTGGGGCTTGATCCTCATTTCATGAAGGTCCTACCAGATCCCCCTACTGACATGTGCTGTCACAGACATCTCCAGCTCACCACCTGCCCTCCTGACGGGAGCGAGCCCTCCCAAGTCAGGATTGCAGGGCCCTGTGTGCCATGGCGGGGCCTTGTTTGGGTGAAATGCACTGGGGCTCCTTAGAGAAAGGGTCTCATTTTATCATAGTAGCGCCCCTTCCCCACAGGCTCCTGCAGTTTCCAGACAGAAAAACACCATGTTGGTGTGTTCTTACTCTTGTTTTTAAATTGTATTTTTTTCTTCTACTGGAGATGGGGAGATGGACTTAGTTGGGGTTTTTGTTTTTGTTTGTTTGTTTTAAAATACATTTTGATTATAAAATATAGCGAAAGTATATACCATATTCACTGAAAAAAACCATGCATTATAACACCTGGCTTTCCATGTGAGATCATAAGGGCACCCAACCAGGAAGTGGATGTTACAACACATAGAGCATCTAAAACCACAGGGGCCTGTCCTGGTTAGACTTGACCTAGGCCCTGGAAGTAGGGAGGAACACAGCCTGGAAGGCAGATGAGGGATGCACCAGCTTCTCGTCCTTCCAGGACATGGCAGCTCAAACAGCCAGTCCGTGACCAGAGAAAAGGGAGACAGAAATGTTGATTTAAGATACTAAACTCAGCCAGGCACCCTTTTAATCCCAGCACTCGGGAGGCAGAGGCTACACAGGGAAACCCTGTCTCAAACAAAACAAACAAACAAAAACTCAGCTCTTTGAGCCCCTTCCTGAAGGTCGCTATAGGTAACATCATGATGGTAGTCTGTATCCAGGACCTAGATGTTATAGACTCAGCAGGCCAAGAACCTGATGGGAATGTTTTGGATGTTTCAGGAGGTTCTCTGTTTTGTGGATTTAGCTAACCCTGAAGTATTAATTCCACGAAGCAGTATCCCTGAGGATTATTCAGGCCCATCTCTGACAGGGCTGTAGCTACACCAGAGGAGGTCATTCCACCAGGGAGTCTTGGTGGGCTAGCATGTCTGTGCAGAGCTGGGGCTCCCCACTTAGCTCTAGGCAGGGTGGATGTCTGTGCCATTAGGCCTGATCCATTAATGGTGTCAGGAAGTAGCATCTCTCCCATCGAGGGGGACACCAAAGAACTCTGAATCCGAATCTGAGTCTTTCACCATTCTTCCTTCTTTGAAGATTTTTTTTTTTAATTAGAAATAAGTTTAAGTGTGCAAGCCATCATCTCCTAAGGCATTGCTCTCTGTTTATTTTGTTCCTCAGCTCCTCTTACCTCTAGGCTGCGTTTGCTGCGTGGTTTTTTAACTTATGTCTCCCCTTTAGTTTCAGACAGGTGCACCAAAGGTGGGCAACCACCAGAGGGTCAGAAATGTGGGGGGAGCTGCACATCCCCCTGTGCTAAGAGTAAATACACACAATGCAGGAGCAGCTTGTCACTTCCAAAACACTTTACTCCAGAATTGTCAGTTCTGTCCCATCACAACTTTGATCCAGAAAGAGAAATAAAGTGAGCTGAAATTCACACCTGTAAGTTCTCAAAATTAGGGAACCTCTCAGAAAATTTCTTCATATCGTCAGCCCCAGACTACATCACAGGAAGGGCAGAGTGTACATGTTCAGTGTGTACAGCTTGTATGTGTCCTTGTCTCTTGGCACATCTGTCATGTGATAGTCTCCCCAAGGCTGAGGGGGTGGTTACCCACTCTGCAGCTGTGAACTGCTCCACACTGGGGCTACTGAGTTCGTGTGTAGGGAATGGGGATGGAGAAGCCGCTGACCTGCCAGGGACCATGAGCAAATTAGTCACATAGGTCTGACCAATCATGACTGGCTCCTCAGTGCACATCCCTTTTTTCACGTCTCTGTGGTAGTGCCTGTACTTTCTGTTTGCTGTTTGAATGACAAGTGCCCAGCCTCAAGCACTTAATTGTAGCCACAGCAGGAGCTGATGGTACATAAGGAACTGATGGGCCATTCTTTTGAATGGAACACAGTGGGTTAAAAGCACAGTTTGTGGAATGTTAATGGAATAAGCCCCTAAAAGCTGTTTGCTTTTCTAGGCTTTGAGTTATATACTTTTAATTTGATTTTAGAATTTGGACACTTTACATGAATGTAATTCAGCCAAGAAACGTGTTGCTAAGATACAATCCTCAGTGTTCTCTGTATGTATATTTATGTATATACCACATGTTACAGCCTGCATGAGCTTCCTCTCACACTGAGCCCAGCCGGAACTGAGCATGAGATGCTGTCACATGTAGACAAAGGACTGAGACGTTCTCAATAAAGACTAAGATGTTTCACTACGACTTGTGGAGATTTTCCTTTTCACTGTCCTTGCCTCCATTTTCAGGTCTTGAGTCAAAACCTCATGATCGTAGTTTGAAAGGTGTAGAGCGCCGCCACCTGAGAGCTGTGGGCTTGAGAGTTTCTGGTCATCTCACTTCCTGTACATTGCACCAAGTGCTCGGTGTGTTTATCCAGCTTGAGAGCCCCTTGGTTTTTTGCTCCTGGCTTCTGTGTCTTTCTGCAGAGATTTTGGCTCTGCTCCAGTATTCGGGGCTCTGTGGAAGGAAGGACAGTCATGATTCGGGGAGAGTTGCCTACAAGACTGTTCCTAGCATAATCTTAAGAGAATGTATGTGCATTAATTATGTACGGGAACATGTGAGTGAGTCTACAAGGAAGGGGCTTTTTATGACCTTCTCTCCAGGGTCAGAGGCTATTTGGCTAGGTCATACAAGAGTCTGCTTCTCTACTCCTGTCTTTTATTCTCTGTGAATGAACTGAATGCTCTTTGCCATACTGCAGGCACACATATACCTACTTGACTTAGCTTTTTAGCAACCTATTTGCCACTCTAGCTGTCGGTTGAACCTGGGAGAATGGATCCTAAATTGAGGTGGACTAAAGTCTTGCGCAATAGCCAGCTTTATTCAGAACATCAGACAGTTTATACTCTGAGAATTAAGAACAGTCGCATGAGCAAAGTTCTCGTGAGTTCAAGCTGTATAACCACAAGGACAGGCTGCATGAGGCAAAAACATGTTTTTCCATAGGGGCATTTGAACAAATAATAATAGCCAGTTGCAACAAAATAATCTGAAGTGAACTCACTCCTGTCACACCGGGAGGAACATGAAAACACATTCCAAGAACAAGTCTGTGTTTTTGAAGAAACTGAGGTCACAAGACTCTTGTCTTCTTGGAACTTTCTCGTAGGCTCTCAGAATTCCCTTCACAGAACTTCATTCTTGGACTGTGTTCCAACAACAAGTTATCCCTTTCTTTTTTGTAAAAATGAAGCATTTGATGATGATTCTAACAAATAAGAGAAGGGCTGTTAGGGAGAGCGCTTGCCTCACGTGGGAGAAGCCCTGACATCCATCCGCAGTGCTACAGAAACTGGAGGGAAGAGAGAGGGCACGCCTGTGCAAGTGAACAAACTAGGAGCCATAATGCATGAGGACACAAGTCCTTTCTCATTCTTCTCAGTGCATAACCTGAACATTCACCTGCGTGTTCCATTAGGTTATTACAAATTAAGACTCTTTTTTTTTTTAAATATAAAGTGAGTCAAGTAACTATATTAGATCCACATGTTTAAAATCCTGACTTCGTTGCCCTCAGTAATTTCTCTTCCAGGCTGTCTGCTATAATTCATTTCTCATGGTTTTCTTTTTCAATATCCCTAGAAAAGCTTGCTTACACTTTTGTTTCTATTGGAAAAGTAGGTCAGTTTTTTTTTTTTTTTTTTCTGATAGAAAATAGGTCTGACTTGGTTCACTGGTGTGACAGGAAGGATTAGGTTATGTGGAGGACATGTAGAGGACACATACCATAAATAGAATCCGCTAACTCTGCAACTATATAGCTGCCATGAAAGTACATTTAAAATGATGATGTAGGGAAAGCATTTTATTAGTATTAAATTGGAGGGGGAAGCACTGAAGTTTCCATCTCAGTGTTCCAGACCCCTTCTGAATATATTAGGTGTAACAAGGTGACAAAGATTCGAGGTAAATGGCAGCCCCTTGATAAGTTTTGTCATGAACACTGTGACTGAGGGTGACAGGATGACAGATACTTTAGTAAGCCACGTGGTTTCTAATCCTTTGCTTTAAAACACTTGAATAAGAACCTCATTGATTTGACAGCTGATGAAGCATTAAAACCATTCTTACAACTTTAAAATTTTTAAACTACCGGATTTGTACAATATTACCTAGAAATTCAGAATACAGTTGAAATTATTGCTATGATTTTTTTTAATTCATTCAGTTTTCTAACAACGACAAAGCTAGAATATAACTGAGGCTAACCTCTGCCACAATGGAACGGTAGCCTCTCGATCCCTGGATGTAGGTTGGTAAAGCCCTGATTAGGAGGTATTAGGTCAGTGAGATTTAGTTACCACCTTACATGTGTTTTTGAAAAACTGTGATGTGTGAAAAATAACATAATTCCAGGATATTACTAACAAAGCCTTTGGCCAGAGTAAATATAAGTTTTGATCCAAATTTACATGATCACACCTTTGAGAAGAAAAAGAACATTATATGTGGCCAAATTCTTTGTCGAGATGTGGATTCCATTCAATAAAGAGAAGTTCCTGAAGGGCCAAGAGTTTTTTGTTTTTTTTGTTTTTTCTGCTAAATAGAGGCAGAAAGAGTGGAGTGGAGAGACATGCACACTAAATCAGATCTCAGCAGGTCGGGCATTCATACCTCCACAGATGTTCTGCATCTGTTTCCTAAGCAAGAGCTGCATGCATGGAGAGCCAGAGCAGTGGCCCCCAAACTGGAAACCTGGGGTGAGGTGCCCAGAAGTGGGAGGAGTGTACAAGGAGAGTGCACGTGCTAAAGCAAAGTGGGGCTGTCCAGGAGGAGGAGGCAAGTCAGAGTAGCTACAGATGCAGGCGTTTAAAAATAGAGAAATAAACAAGACCAAAGTCCCTGCTGCAATACCCTCCTGAGTCTGCCCAGGACCTCTCCAGTGTGGGTGGGGGAGACAGGACTTGTAAACCACGTTGTTTGCAAAGCGATCACCCCACAGGTAGATTTCCAGCAGATCCTGCTGCTCTGAAGACCCCAGAGTGCACCCTGAACCAGCAGGCTGTCACTGAGCGTCTGCTGAGCTGCAGACCCAGTGCCTTCTAAGGCCAGGGTCCTTCTGCTGTGAGTACATCCCACTCCACCGCCTGTATCTCCTTAAAGTGCAGGACACGGCTTGCTCCTCAGCAACAAAGCAGCGCAGTTGCATGAGAGATTATGTGGAGATAGGATATTTTTAAGTAAAGTCAGATGAGGGCAGCATTCAAACTCATATTTTTATTTTCACCCTGAACTAATCAGCATAATGTGGATGTGTGGGTGTCCCAATGAGATACAGAATCCACTCCAGACATGGATTGGCCTTTTGCAAGAGGGAAAGCATTTCTTATAGTACGTTGTTACACATTCTAGAACTTTTCCTATAAACATCATCAGAAAACCGTGCAAAGGATATATGAAAGCTGTCTTTTCCTGGCATATGTCAGATTTCCTGGTATTTAGCTGTTACAGAGCAAAAATGCTGTCAGCTGAATATTGTCACCTGCCAGGCAAAGTGCCATCGGCCGTGTCAGAGAAAGCCCTTCGTCTTTCTCTGAGTGGATGTGCAGCCCGTTTGAGGCTGCGCTGCACGCTCCAATCAGCTCCCATCAGCTGCTCCCAGTGAATGGAAGGGAAGGTTCTCTTTAGAACTGCCTATCTGTGTGAGCTCCCACTGAAGCTGTGGCCATAACTGATGGCTAGTGGCAAGGACCCAGATACTAATGATGATCAGAGCTCCATATTAGAATTTTGATTGTTGTTGTTCTGTTTTGGTTGTTGCTTTCAGCTTTGCACTTACTGTCTTTGGTAGCAACCATGAGAGACTACAGTGTGCTCCCAGCCCCACAGCAGGCTCTCTCACCTGGCTGTCAAGATGGCCTGGGAGCCCATGTCCAGCCTTTGTCTGGGAATGTAGTTGTAACCCTGGGAGTTGCACAGGATGCAGTACATTGTGGGAAGATTATGAGGTTCTTCACACTGGGACAATTTGGTGAAAAGGACCCTGTACTATGTCTGCCTCTCAAGAGGGAAGATGGAAGGGCCTTGGTCAAAGAAACAAGAGACTTAGGCTGAAATCTTTGCTCGCCTATCTTAGTCAAGTCTCTACGAGACAGAGTAAAGATCAGGCAGCTAATTCTTACTTAGTCATCTGGGGTCAGGGTTGAACTTGTACTCATGGCTGAGTCCAGTCTGGACTGGAAAAAAAGTTGATAGCACACAGTGGGATCTTTTGATATGGAAACTATAGAAATGAGACCAAGCCACATATATGAACAAGACAGGCAGTGTTAATAATGATAGGGTAGAGCTTCAGATTGGGAGCAGAGGACACTGACGGATCTAAGACATCATCAGCCCATTCCATTCAACAGAGGGAACAGCTAGCAGTTATTTGATCGTCTGGCCTTGACTAGGGTTTTGGTAATTGTCCATGGGCATGGTTTCAAAAGATGTTTTCCTTGTTGCATGTCACCATTTTTGCCCGGGAACTGTTGAGCTACAGCTAGCTTTCTCATCTTCAGAATTGTTCTGGCTTCAAGTGTTATCTTAGGATAAGGCTGAGGGACTGTGGGTGCTAGAGCTCAAAGAAGGTACATGACGGGGTAGAAGAAGACATGAAAAATAAAAAGCCATCATGAAAGTTAAATGATAGACTTAAATATAACAAGCAAAACTATCAAACTCCTGAGGGAGAAAACAGGAGAAAAGCTACACCCTGGTTTGGAGATGACTTCAGACCTGGGTTGGATCCCTGGAACCCACATGGTAGAAGGAGAGACCTGAACACTGCCCCTCAGATGGAGATTTGAGAGGAAAGAGTTTTCCTTTCACCCGCCCGAATTTACTTCCTCTCATTAAGTTACTGTCTCCCTGGCTTTGGGTAGAGTGATGAGCAGTGTACATGGCAGATTTTGTTAACAATAGCAGCTTTATTTATAATTGGCCCAAGCTGAAGGGGCCAACAAGTCCTTCAGTAGAAAAATGGGTGAATAAACCAGTGCTTCCAGGCGAAAGGACATGAATTAGTGCTACGGAAACAGCATAAAGATCTGTGGGACCCCAGAACTGGAGAGAGGGAGGGATGACTCTCTCCAAGCTTTTTAGGGGACACACACAAGCTTTTTAGGGCACAAAACTGTAACTTTAGTTCCTGACCATGGCTTGATTGTGCCGGCCACAGGGAGAGGAAGCAACATTTTATATATATATATATG